TGATACCAATTGTTAGGACCTGTAAATTCAGCTTTGGTATTTGATCTCTTACTCTGGATGATCTTTAGGACGATTACAGTGTAGTGGAAACAATGATAAGAACAAAATAGAGAAATTAACCAAGAACACACAGATTAATATAAAGAAGATGAACGCAATAGAATAGCTTCAAAGGTTTTTCAATTGATTGAAAATATAGACGATTACAATACGGAAGCACACTGAATTACAAATGCCTAAGCTGCTCTTTATACTAGTTCTTAACGACCTTTCTGACATGACCTAAACGTGTGAAATCATCCAAGTCGTCCAAATAAAGTCGATTAAAGACCTAGTCACGTGAGAAGCACGTGCAGCTAACAACCTTCCAAAAAACAGCAGAACAAGATCTTCACAGAAGACGAATCCACAGACACTCTGTGAGCCATCTCAGAGGCTCTGCTGTAGAAGACTTGTAGGTTCTTATTGCCAGAGGACCATTTTCCAGAACCTCTGTGAGAGACAACAGAGGTTCTATCATTCTTGACTTGCACGATCAAACAACTTCTGTTGCTGGTCCTTTGTTGTCTTCTGTGGAAGATACCCTTCTGTCAACACTTGTAGAAAACTTTTTCATACTTTTACATTAAGTAAATATTGGAGTTAACAATCTCCCCCTTAGTATGAAAAAGTAAAAAAGGACAAATGAATGCAAGAAATGACTAATTGAAAGAATTACAAGAGGAGATAAAACTCATCCTCTGAAAAGAGTTACATAAAATTGAAAGAATTATAAAATTGTTGCTTAGGCCTATTTATTACAGAAGATTAGTCCACAGCAGAGTTTGGATAGTCGTCTATGGCAAATTGTAGATCTGACTTGATGGTTCTGTAGACCTTGAATATCCATTCTCTGAAGGAGACTTGAACTTTAATCATTTCCAGAATACCAGACACTTCATCCGCCCTTAGATGCCCTCTGTGCACCTCTGCTGCCACTTGGTTGAACACCCACTCAAGAGTCTCTGTCACATATTTGTTCGCCTCTGTCGGATCAAAGAACCTTAGAATGTCATACTTGTCCAAGAACACAAACCCAAAGATGGGATTGTGGACAATAGTGTTGGGATGAAATCTAAGTAGCCAACTTGGACTGTTCTTCAGAGGTGAAATCTTCAATTATGTTTGGGCCAACCTCATCGCGATATCGAAGTCCTTCTGGCTGTAGTATTTCACTTGAGCGCGCATAACTTCGATCAACCTTCTAAGTGATATAGAATAGCTTGACCTCCTCTCCATGTATTTGTTAAGAATTTTGTGTAAGAAGATAAGATCAAATACACTGAGGTTGTGGAGGTCAGCATCTGTGAACGTGTAAAGGTTGTCGTCATCCCTCTTCACCACATATTGAGCATAAAGCACGGTCTTCTTCAACATCGTTCTTGGAGATATTGTTTCAAGGGAAGTTATCACATGCTCTGAGAAGACCTGCTCGCGTGGCTTTGTGAGCTTTGAGAAGTGAAACTTCGCAGCTGCAGAGGGTATACCTATAAGCTCTGGATCGTAAGGGGGCTCTGTGTCAACGGCAGAGTAGCACCACCACAGAATCTCCTCCACAGTGGTTACGGGCTCTGTACGCACCTTCTGCGTAGGTATTTTGCTCATTGAATCAAGTATCTCAGAAACCCTTCCCACTGTGGTAGATTCTGGTATTCTGGTTTCTTCTTCTTCTAGAATTGGCCTCTAGGTGGACCCCTCTGCTAGGATAGGTTTGGCAGTTCCTAACAGAGCGTCGAACGTACCCGTGGACGTTTCCTCCTTCGCCATTTTGGAGGATGAGCCTTCTCCAGCTCTGGGGATAGGGGCTCTATTACTCCTAGACAAATAATTGGACTTATTAGGTTTATTATCGAAATATTCATCGTAAAAAATTTCAAACAAAGAATATAAATAAAAAAGATTAGAATTCGAAGACTCAACGTTATCTGCATTCCGCGAAGTGTTAATTATCAGCCCGGGTCCTGAACCGTTTTGTTCAGAAGCCACATCAATCACTTCATCGAAAGAAACGTTGACGCTCTCATTGATGATTTTCGTCCGTTTATTGTAGACTCTGTATGCAGCAAACGTTTTTGAGTATCCTATGAATACCGCTTCATCAGCCTTCACAGCGAACTTACCTCTGTCCTCTCTGTCATTTAAAATATACACCTGCAACCAAATACTCAAAAGAATTTGATATTAGGTATTCTTTTATTTATAAATTCGTATGGAATTTTACTAAACCTTTTGTGTACAAGGGATTGGTTCTGGGTAAGACATGCAGTTGCCACCACTTCAGCCCAAAGAAATAATGGAAGCTTAGAATAAGTCAGGAGTGTACGCGTCGCTTCCACCACGGTTCTATTTTTCCGTTCAACGGCACCATTCTGTTGCGGTGTCCGGGCTGCTGAGAAAGTATGTGTGATACAAATGGATTCTAAGAATGAGCCGAGAATATTGTTCTTAAATTCTGTTCCATTATCAGTTCTGATTTTCTGAACTGTCAGTTGTAGATTTATTTGAACAGTCTTCAAGAATGAAATAATTGTCTCAGCTGCTTCGTCTTTTGACCTCAAAAAATGAACCCATGTATATCTGGAATAGTCATCAACAATGACTAGCACATACTTCTTTTCATTTATGCTTTGTACTATCATAGGACCACAGAGATCCATATGAAGTAAATGAAGAGGACGTTCGGTATTGAACTCTGTTTTTGACTTGTGTGAAGCTTTCTTCAGTTTACTCATTTCGCATGCACTGCACACGATCTTTATGAAACTTTAATTCTGGATTTCCTTTAACCAAGTTGTCATAAACCAACTTGTTCAGATTTTTAAAATTGAGATGTGAAAAACGCCTATGCCACAACAGATTTTTCTTCAAGGATGCCTTGGATATCAATGAGACTTCAGTAACCACTTGTGTATTTGATAGGTCAATTGTGTAGAGGTTTCATCTTCTGATTCCAGCTAGTAACTCCTTACCATCAGTAGTACGGATGCTGCACTGGTTAGCTTTAAAACAAACTTCTAGATTTTTATCACAGAACTGACCTATACTGAAAAGATTATGTCAAAGTCCTTCGACATACGACACTTTCTATATCATTAAGTTTCCAGAAATTATGTCACCGTATCCAAGGATAGCGCGTATTGGTCATTCTCAAATCTTACCGTACCTCCAAAAGATTCAACAAAATTATATAAGAGTTCTTTTCTGCCAGTCATGTGCTTAGAACATCCTGAGTCTAAGAACCACACATGTCGGTTTACCTACACAATGAATCAATTGGGTTTTGGTACCCATTTTAGAATGGGTCCTTTCATATCAGGTTTTGTTGGTGGTATACTGTAAGTACCAAACCAACTCTCTTTAAAATTGATTTTCTTTGATAAAGCAGATAGAGCAGAATGCATAACATGATAAGGTTTAAAAGAAGTAAAAGACACAAACATCTCATCCAATCTACAAGGAGAACAATTATTTCTTCTATTCTTGATATCAAACAATTCATTTACTGAATAATTGTGTACAGTATTATTCAATGCTGAATTATTTAATATAGAATCAGCAAAATTATTATGCTTCTGTTGATTCAATGATTTATCTTCATCTTTCACTCTCCACACCTTCTTAAACTTCAATGCATTATCTATCATAGGAGAAATAAAATCATTAGATATGAACGGTGAACCTTTTGTTTAATGTTCTTTTCAGTAAGCTTCTTTTGTTTCCTCGAATTCTTTTTAGATTTATTCTTTTTATAATACTAATTCTCATAAACAGGTTTTGTATTGAAAGTCTTTTTAAAATCTGAAGCTATGTCGGAATCCTCAGTCATTTCATTTTTAACAATAAAATCCTCGTGACTGGGAAGTTTCTTCGAGAAATCAAACTGAGAAATCTAATCATCTAAACAAGTATATGAGTTCAAGATGTCAGAAAAATTGATTTCTTCATTTAAAACATTTAATTCTTCTGATTCAGAAGTGTTACTTAAAGATTTTGTACATGAAAAATATTCAGACTGAACTGGTTCCGGTTTGACTTTAGAATTTTCTAAATTTTTAATTTTATTTAGAAATTCTTGTTTTTGTTTATTAAATGAAAGTCTTTCTTCATTTAAGATTTCCTCTAACTGAACCACTTGTTTTTCTAAAATTAAAGTTGGTGTATAAAGTTTTGGTTCAGCAGGTTTAGATTCAATCTCTGCTTTTGAATAACTATGAAATAATCTGTCGAAAGTGCAGAAACCTGTGTTTTATAGCTGTCATTTAGATTTGTATAGTCAAACGGAACTTGCATTTTGTCTTTTCTTTTCTGGTTAAAATCCTCTTGTTCTTCCATTTTATCAGAAGATTTTGTAAATTTTATTTGAATCTCGGGACCACAGTCAAGATATTCAAATTTATATAGAGTTGGGGTATAATATAAAGCTTTTTCTAAAAAAAGTTGGATTTTCATACCCTAACCCTTCCCGAAGATTAAAAAATCTCGTCTTAGATGATTTGTTTAGAACAATCGTTTGGTCAGTTTGCCCTCTCTTATTTAACTGTTCATCTTTAGCTTTCAGTTTTCATTTAAATCTTTAATTTGCAACTCAAACTTACTTATTTTAACAATTAATTCAGTTGATCCCATATCTCTCAATAATACTAATAATCGAGTTAAGAATAACCAAATTATAGTGTTTTAATGAACAAAATGATGAACACTCAAGAACAATGTATAAACATTCAAATAATAATCTTGAGTGCCAATGATTTCACTTTATTCAATATGAAAAACGTAAAAGCGACATTGATTACAATATGCCTAATAACCTATTTATACTAGAAGGCTAATTAGAAGATAACTATCTAGTGAGACTATTTAGCTAATCTTCTACTAACAGATAAAGTTTATCTAAACTATGGATAAGCTATAAATTAAGATAAACTTGAAATCCAACTGTCGATTTGCCATCTCCAGCTGTCTTCCATGGGATTATGATTCAACCTTATCTTCATATCTTCATCGTATGCCTCTGGTTGAATTATTGAAGAAAACTCTAAGTGTTGTTGACTAGAGGGGTGATGAAGATGCTCTTTCCATCGCATCTCTGGTTATTCATCGACCCTTTGGTTCTTCTCCAGACTTGGTCAATTCTGCCTTAATGTCTTCATCGGTCTTCTAGTTCTTCATCACTTATTGTTCTTCATTACTTTTACACTTATTAATTATGGGGTCTAAAAATCCCCCCCTAAGTAATGAAAGAACAAACATAAACTAATCTATGAATAATTTTGAAGAACATAGACTAATCTAAAGAAAAGCATCAAATTCCAAATTTTCATTGGATGATGAATTCTTACAGTACTGGAAGCAAAAGACATTTCATATTAAGGCAAAACATTTACAACTCTTCATGATCTACCTTGAGATATTTCCCAGAAGCGCAAAAGCAGTCTTCGATAGCTGAGGACTATTGATATCTCATGAATGAGTTGATTCCCATCTTCTCTTGGCACGTGAGTTCTGTCCAGTCTCTCTCTGATAACTTTCTGAAACCACTCAAGTGTATCGATTGAATACTTGAATGCTTCAGTTAGTCTAAAAAATTTCTTTACCTTGAACTCATTCTTGAAGACAAGTCCAAGCTCAGGTTGAGTCAAGACAGAAGCAGATCTCTTCTCCTGCAAGCCAAACAAGTCTTCATTAGGTGGAGCGCAGGAGAGTCTTTTGATGCCTAATTGAAGAGCAATATGAAAATCACTATTGGCTTGATGTTTCACCAGGGTCTCCATCGTCTTCACAATCGCTCTGTTTGCCATCCCAAATCTTATTCCTTGATCCTGTCGTTGAGTTGTGAATGCATAAAGGTCGATCAAGTCATAGGGATTGAGATTGATCAAGTCATTGTCGTTGAAGACGCCGACCTGACCATGGGCTCTCTCAACCGTGTACTCGATATATCTTATAGCTCTATTGGCGAAGGTCCTCATCTTTATGTCCATTACCATCCTTATCCCATCGTTTGAGAAGACAACTTGTGGTGGTTGGGTAGTCTTTCTAACAAACCGATGGTGTAAGAGGTCCATGGATTCTGGCGATAGAACTGGAGGATTGAGAGACAAGCTTTTATCGCGATCGTGGTATAGATACTGATGGATATTCTCTATCATGATGGGTTCCCTTGGTTGTATCTCCGGACGTCTCCTTAGCCACTCTATGTTCTCAATAATTTAATCGACTAGGCTCTGCGGAGGTTGCCTTGATGAAGAGGGAATATCTGCTTGCATCGTGGTTAGTTCGATTGGGGGTTGAGTTTGGGTTATGGGTTGTGTATCGGTTGGGGGGTGTGTTTGGGTACTGGGTTGTGTATCGGTTGGCAATGGGATGGTTTCTTGGGTTGGCTCGTTTTGGGGTGGTTCAGGTTCATTGGGTTGGATGATGAAAGGTTGTGTATCGCGAGGGGTTGGTGATGGGGTTAATGGTAGGTTTGGTGTTGGCGATGGAGTAAAAGGTGGGTTGATTTCTGTTGGTGGGGTGGTTGGATTTTCATCGGTTGAGGAACTCAACACGATGGGTTCAGGTGTGGTAGCAAGGGGAACATGTACATTAAATACATCCTCAGAGGGCTGAGCCTCTGGTTCCCTTGCTTGGGTTGATGGAGATTGTTGTGTTTGGGGTGGTGGAGATGGTGGATTTTGTGTTTGGTGATGGGATGTTGAGGGTGAAGCGGATTCCATTGGTTGTGAAGCGGTGGCCTGATTCTCCCCCTCATGAGGACCTAAACCTTGATCATCGGGGTCTGGATCCTCATGCCTTCGTCTTTTGAGGGGGCGGCTTGATGAGCAGGAGGCCCTGGTCCTGTTTTTCCTCCACAGTCGTATGTGGTCGGCCAATGTGCGCACTCGATCCTTGTTCTGCCGTTGTTCCATGGAGCGAAGAAGAGAGTTTGTTCGATCTTGTTGTTGCGTAAGACTCTTCTTCAGCGCAATGGTAGGCTCAATCGACCTGACAGCAAACTTTGCACTTATCTCATTGAATGATGAGATAAGTACCTTGGATAGAGCCCGAAGATCGGCTCTAGTGGCAAAATTCATGCATGATGATGTAGCTGGCGGTGGCACGATGGTGGTGGTGGATGTCGATGGAGAATTGGGAAGGTTGGCGATGAGATTCCTCACCTCTGCAGTGAAGGAGGAGAAGGATGGATGGAAGGATGGGCCTGCAGAGGGAGGTGGAGGTGGTGAGGGAGGCTAGGGTTTCATCGATTGATGAAGTTGTTTGAGGTGGGGTTGGTTGAGGGATTTGGGAGATGATAGTGGCTGGTAGAGCGTTAAGGGTTTGGAAGATGGTGTTTGTTTGGGTGGTTATGCAGGCGAGAGTCTCATCGTTCGCAGTTGCCTGGGCCGTGAGGGTGGCGATGGAGCGAATGAGGAGTTGGTTTCTTTGGGTGGCAAGGGAGAAGGTGGTGTTGTGGTGTTGGGTGACGGTTTGTTGCAGCATTTGGAGACGTGTTGTATTGTCTCGGGTTTGGGTTGCAAGGGTGGTAAGGGTCTGTTGAAGGGTGCCAAAGGATTGTTGAAGGGTGGTGGTATCGATGGATGGTGGGTTGTCAACAATCCCTTGGATGATGAGTTTTAGGTCTTCCAAGTACCGCTAAACTAAGTCAACAAAAGCTTGGAACTCAGTCTTTTTGACCAGTTCTGCCATGGGGGTAACCCCTGCAGCAACAGATGCTGCAAGTTGAGCCTATGCTCCTGAGGCGCCTTCATTGCCTTGTGAAAATACAGGCCATGAAGGACTTCCGTCATGTCCTTGATAGCCCTCAAGTGAGGAGCTATCTCCTGATGTTGCGACTTCTTCTTCTTCCTCGGCAGGATAGAAGAAGTAAGTGTGTTTCCCCTTCGCTAGATCAAGTATTGAAGGGGGTTTTGTGCACGAATTGGAGACCGCTTTGAACGATCTAGGGGTGCATCAATGTCAGAAGCAACACATGCTTCTGGCTGTGTGGTTGGTTGTGTCGAGCCTTGAGGCGATGGGGGTCTTATTTCTGCATCACCTCTCTGCTGGGAGAGGGGTGATAGGTGTTGTGGTTCCTCAGATAAATCATCTCCAGAGGCCCGAAGAATGGCATCTGGATGGCTAGTTTGGGTTTGGTTTGGACTGGGCCGTCCTTGTTCAATACCTCTTTGGCCTTGATCGCCAAGGGTAGATGTGGTGGTTGCCCTTTGGGAAGAGGGAGGGGGATTTGTTTGAGTAGGGCCGGGGATGCAGGAGGAGTGTCATCATCATCATCATCTTTATCATCCGATGAAGATGCCTCCTGTGCTCCCTCGCTTGTTTGAAGGGACGATTCTATTCGCTCTGGGTAGCTGCCCTCGGTTCATGGGACAACAAAGAGTGTTCGTAAGTTCTTCGGATCTCTGATGTCTCTGGGATGACACTTAGCATGGCTCTGGAGATTGGTCTGTTGATGGGGTATCCTTCCTTCGATAGAGTGGGTCGATGGCCATGCATTTTGAAGACATAAGTGAATGGTCCTTTGGCCGGGAGGTCATATTTCCTCATCGCATCCCCCTGAAGAGAGATAGGAAATGAGGAAACAAAACAGAGGTTAAGGGCTTGCCGGTCGCCTGGAGCTTACACTTCTTGACTACCGCA